GAAGAAGAGAAAGAAGAAGAAGAAGAAAGAAGAAAGAAGAAGAAGAAGTAAGAAGAACAGAAGAAGAAAAAGAAGAAGAAAAAGAAAGAGAAGAAGGCAGAAGAAGAAGAAAGAAGAAGAGAGAAGAAAGAAGAAGAAAGAAGAAGAAGAGAAGAAGACAGAAGAAGAAGAAGAAAGAAGAAGAGAAGAGAAGAAAGAAGAAAGAAGAAGAAGAAGAAGAAGAAGAAGAAGAAGAAGAAAGAAGAAGAAGAAGAAGAGAAGAAAAAAAGAAGAAGAAGAAGAAGAAGAAGAAAGAAGAAGAAAGAAGAAAGAAGAAGAAGAAGAAGAGAAGAAGAAGAAGAAGAAGACAGAAGAAGAAAGAAGAAGAAGAAGAAGAGAAGAAAGAAGAAGAAGAAGAAGCAGCAGAAGAAGAAGACAGAAGAAGAAGAGAGAGAAGAAGAAAGACAGAAGAAAGAAAAGAAGAAGAAGAAGAAGAAGAAGAGAAGAAAGAAGACAGAAGAGAAGAAAAGAAGAGAAGAAGAAGAAAGAAGAAGAAGAAGAAGAAGAAGAAAAGAAGAAAGAAGAAGAAGAAGAGAGAAGAAGAAGAAGAAGAAGAAGAAGAAGAAGAAAGAAGAAGAAGAAGAAAAGAAGAAGAAGAAGAAGAAGAAGAAGAAAGAAGAAGAAGAAAGAAGAAGAAGAAGAAGAGAAGAAGGAAAAAGAAGAGAAGAAGAAGAAGAAAGAAGACAGAAGAAGAAAAGAGAAGAAAGAAGAAGTAAGAAGAAGAAGAAGAAGAAGAAGAAGAAGAAGAAGAAGAAGAAGAAAAGAAGGAAGGAAGAAGAAGAAGAAGAGAAGAAGAGAAGAAGAAGAAAAGAAGAATAGAAGAAGAAGAAGAAGACATCCTAGAGCGCTCCAAGTGTGAAGATATTGGCCACGAGGCCCACGACTGGACAGGTAGCGCATTCACAGAAATAATAATTAATAATAATAATAATAATAATAATAATAATAATAATAATAATAATAATAATAATAATAATAATGTGCGATTTAATGTTTCATCCAATTGATGAGTGGCTTTTACTTATGAAGCCTCTTTACTATAGTGTATACAGCAAAAATATTGGAATTACCTCAATAATACGATTTTCCTAATTGTGTGTGTATTTGTGTACCCAAATATGTATCATACGCCCATCACGATTAAGGATTATTGATACTGTTGCAAAGATGGTAAAGATTTGTGCAGAGGGTGACATGTAGTTTGCACCCTAAACTACAAAGACTGTCGGGATTATGCTTCACTGTCATATTACAAACTTTTGAGCTAAAAATTGGTAAACACGGTTTACGAACTAGTAGTGTCGCCCTCGAATTTATGTGTAACGTTCAAGTATTTTTCGCGCCCACTTACGGATAGTACAAGATCTAAATATTGAAAATATTGTTGATAGTGCCTTAAACAATAATTTTAGTGACTTTATACGGGAGAAGGCGGGTAGGGAGTGTATTCGGTCTACTTTGCGTTAGAGTGAAGAGTTGTCACTATCACCTCGTTTAGAATTCTCGGTTGGTATTCATTGTAATATTCAAATTAATCTTTCTATAACACTAAGATGAAAAGTTCTGTTAAAAAGTGAATTGCCACAACTTTTCAATGTTTTTGAAAGTAAAACTAGGAAGGACCAATTCCTAATCAAATTAGTAATACTGATGAATGTATTGTTATCTCTAGTAACCTAACCATTTATATTTAGGTGCCCAAATATGAGGATTAAGTTTAATTTTTAGATGAAGTATTTAATTCCACTAATATAATATTCTTTTTCTCGTTACAGAAACTGTTAGGTAGTGTGAGTTTCATCACCAAGAGTTTTGACTATCATCTGCTGAAGCCATGGCTGGGCGATGGGCTATTACTGAGTACGGGTGAGTGACTTGAATGTGCAAGTGTTTAACATCCTTATACCCATATTTTCTACGACTGTGTCAAGATATAAGTTCTTCATTAATACTTACATTGTGGTTTTTAATCACTTAAGATCCTAAACCAACTAATTTGTACAATGCTCATTTGAATTTTTATTAAGTTGCTTTGAGTTTGTATTGAGTTTGCATTTGAGTTATACAATTGATTATACATTCTTCAACAACTTAAATGTAAATGTCTTATTCCATTTAAGAACATGTGTAGTTTACAAAGATTGTTGTAGAAATATGTAAGAAAAATTCGAAGTATTCATTATTTTAGAAATGTATATTATTCTACTAAATGACACTATCGCTCCCTTTAAAATTTGATTATCTTATAAATTGAACTAACTACTCGCCAAAAATTTAAGGAGCTTTAAGATTCCAAATGTTTATAATTGTACTGGTAGAATTACTCCAATGAGAACTACTAAATTACGAATGAATATTGATTTTGGACGTTTCAATAGAGATCATTAGTCCCGTGCCCGTGTCAAGGCGCCTCCCTGACGGAGTAACGCCCCAACCGGCAAGACGTCTAGGCGTCCGACTGCTCTCCCGAATCGTGCCGTTGAGTAGTACATGCAAAAGTATGAACGTAAGGAGAAACAAGGGGACAAACAGCACGAAGGAAATACTGTTACTTTCTCGCTACCGCTCACTCAGGAGGGAGAAACTTGTGTTATGTTGCGCGAGAAAATTGCAAATTTTCGGCAGAAAAACTCTTATTACAGGACTATGGTAACGAAAAAGTGGACATATCCAGTAGCTAAATTTAGAAAAACAATCCTCTAACACCTGTGTAGTCAGAATACATATTTCGTGGGCCCTTGTTACCAAAAAATAGAATGACAGCCAAACATATATCTGTCTGTGAACTACACTAGCGGCTAAACCGTTTAGCCGATTTGCTAAAAAGTTGATATTCCCCAATCGATCTGGATAATGTCGTGGCCCCTTGAATTTGGAACCCATATTTTATTTTTTGGAGGTACTTACTTTATCTGAAGCCACTGGAACATTTTCCAAATTTTCTAAACAATGTCACCATCGTTTTTGATTAAATTTTGTTGTTGGATACTGTAAAGGGCATTTTAAGAGTATGGTGTAGGTCTAAGTTTCGTTGAAAATTGTTAAATTCAAACTTTTTTCTTTTTGCTTCTTTAATATAGATTCTGATATAAGATCACGTACACTTCTTTGTGAATTTGAGTAGTTTTCGCGTAGTTTTGCGTGAAAGTTGGCGAGAAAGTACGTGCTGTTTTAGCACCACTAGTTTCGAAAATGATCGGACATTCGCCTCGTGTTTATCAGAAAAAGCACGGGAAATTACCGACCAAATGAGCCAACCTCTCGTACTATTCAATTAAGCCTTATTGTACGCGATGAGGCTCAGGCCATCCGGTTCGCTTTGCCGCCTGACCAAGCAAATGTAGCTGCTCTCCTTTCGTCATCCAGCAGCGAAAAAGGTATCACTCGCGCGACGAGACAGACAGTGGATGGACTCGACTCAACTCTCTGGGTTGATTTAATTATAGTAAATTTTGGAATAACTCAGCTGTAACGCTCTTATCCAATCGAAAGCTTCATTACGACTTAATTTTTTGATACTGAAGTTCCCAATTAAATGATAATGTCCCCCCTCCATGTTCAGTTCCCAACCTTGGAAATTCACTATATTTAAATCGGGCAAGGTGTCGAACTCTGGCCGGGAGGTCGTGGGTTCGAGTCGCGATAGTGGCAGAATTATCGACACTATCTTGTCGGCTATCTGGATTTCTGGTCTGCCTGGAAGACAATTCTAGCGGCCGGCTGCTCTCATCGGTAGTTTTCCGTGTTTTTTCCTATCAACACCAGGCGAATACCGGAGCAGTACCCTAACAAACGGGCCACGGACCGCGCGCGATCTTTTCTTTCTCTTTCTTGTCCTATCCTCACCCTTACACACACATTTCCTCCATGCATTACACTATAACCCATGACTGCAGACCTGTCGCAAGATTAGAGCTTGTTCCGACGACCGGTGCCCCACTGGTAGGAGATATCTGGATAGGAAAACTCCGCTAGCTGACGGTAGGTCGGCGTCGGATCTCGTTATACAGTGAAGGAATATCGCCACCACCTCCCGAGAAAAAAACATGCATTACACTTATGGGACTACTGGCCTTAGCAGTTGCCGCGCCCGGATTCACAAATCAATCAATCAGTCAATCAACTGGTGTCGACAATGCTCCCTCGTGCGAACTCGAAACGGCTCAACGACGCTCAGAGGCGACTGTGTTGCCCATGGGCTGATGCGAGGCGTCGTGCGCAGGCGGCAAGTGGCACTCGCGGCGCAAGCTGCTCACGCCGGCCTTCCACTTCCGGATCCTCGAGGACTACCTGCCCGTCTTCACGCGCTGCAGCCGCGTGCTGGTGGAGAAGTTGCGCGAGCGCACGGGCGACCCTTACGTGCCCGTCAACGACCTCATCACCCTCTGCACCCTCGACGTCATCTGCGGTACGTCACTCGCCACAAGAAGGCCTTCATGGCAAAAACATTACAAGTCTGTAGTGGATGAAAAGACCTACCTTAGGGTCTGCTTTGCTGGTATAGTGGCTACGAATACCAAGTTCGTAGGCTCAAACCCGGTCAAAGTAGGGTGATGTTTGCCAAAAATGGACGGCATGCGTACGGTCGCATGTCAGCATGTGAAACAGATCCCAGGAAATGCACTTGGCCGATCTCGGCAAAACTAATCCTCTAGCAATTTACCACCAATCGGAGTTTTGATTTGAATTCCTGGAGGATAAACGTGGATATTGTGTCTAGGCCTGTACTATCTGGTATTCTAATCAAATGTCGAAATTGGCGCTCTAGCGCCTCTGGGGAAAGCAATGGCGAAGTACCCTACCTTTATTTGCCCAGAACAAGTCTCACAATAAGGCGCTGGGGGCTTCAGGAGATTAGCCTATGCACCATACGTGCATGGTGGTAAAAGAAGAATAAGAATCTAGCTTAATTAAAATGTATTTCAACTAAATACAGACCTTACGTCCCCGCACACATGTTTCGAGGACTTTACCTCATCATCAGTACTCCCCAAGCCACATCGTACAAAGCATGCCTGTTCGCTTAACAGCGATTCTTTGTACTACTTGCTTGGAGAACACTGATGATGTGGTGAAGTCCTCGAAATATGAATGCGAAAATGTAATATCTACTCGTATGTTCAGTGTAAATACATTTTTATTGTGGAGGATTACTATGTATCCATATGGATTTCCACAAAATGTTTGCTGAAGCCACCGAGATTATTTAAATGGCACATTGTTTATTTCTTAGATAAAATAACTGCCAAGTGCTGATAGGAAGTCACGAGCTGATGCGGATGCATTGAGGGAGGCCACAGAGACTTCCCTTCCCCGATAGCCAACAAGCGTTTGTTAATTTTACCAATTTGTTAAAAATGATTACCAAATTTTATAACATCTCATGCAAATGAATATTTACAATATTAATTCACATTTTAATTCTTCTCTAAGCTTAGAATTTCTTCAATTTGTATTGCTTGTATTTAAATCATGTATGGGGTGGTGGGTTTCGTACTGGATACCCCCTCTCCCCGAAGTACTTTAGGGATATACCTTTGCTAGTAGCTGTGCCGTAGAAGCACTATGTTGACAGACGTTAAAAAGATATTCATTAGATTTACGAATACATATGTTTTTATGCAAATGTGTTGTTTGCTTGGGCTCCTGTTGCAGAAACAGCTATGGGAACGCGAATCGATGCTCAAGAAGGCAAAGGAGTTGAATATGTGTCTGCTGTACTAAGGTAAACAATTTTCATAATTTTCTTAATCTAGTAATCTAAAACATTTTTCTAGCCTTCTGTTTACTTGTTTTCGTTTGCATGGCTTGTACGGATTGTTTAACTCAATCTTGAAATACAATTTTTAAATTTCTGTAAATTCGCAAACTATTATTAGACCATAGTATCGCGAAAGACATTAACTAAACTTGTTGGAACGAGACTTAGGGACGGATACTAAAGGGTACAAGTTACCTACCTTACAGAAATAAGCGATTGTGTGTTCATCTTATGAAGGCCGGCTACGTGCTAAGCCAGTGAATGTGTCCAAAAAGTTTGTCTCGGTTAACGGAATTGTTTGGCGGGCTCTCCTCGGCCAGTGGGATATTTGTTCCTCCTTCGGCGAGTGAGACGTGGCCGGGGCCCGTGGCTCCTCCCTTTTTTACTTGGCTGCGCGGGGACGCCGCGCTGCGGGCTGCCGTGCCAGCCTCGGGGTTGAAGCGCGCACTCCACATCTGAAGGAGACCGTGATGCGACAGCATCACTGCGTCTTCACAGATTCAAAACATGAATTCAGTACGAATTTCAAACAATATTCATTTGAATACTGTTTCTGTTCTAAATTATGAATTCTGAGCTTAACTATTTTCCACAGAAAAAAGTTCAAACGGCGCCAAGTGGTGTGTTATTGCAGGAATCCTGGAATAACCTGGATTCTAGGAATCCTGAGATCAAATTGAACTCTTGAATAGAATTCTTGAACCAACATCGCAACGCCTGAGCGATCAATTTTCCTACAAGCTTAATTGGATGGAAAATGTACCGAATAAAATAAGTTAAGAAATTGTTGCAGGATGTTGTAATGGTGTAATGTGCTGAGGTGTTGTAAAATTGTGAGGTTGTACCAACATTGAACATGCTTCATTTGTTTAGGCGAAAATCATTCAGTCTAGACGATCTTTGTTTTTCAAGCGACGCTGAATGAACATTGCACCACATGAGGGAACTCGAGATTAAGTGCCTTTTGTTTCCGTTTGAGTGTTTCGAGCTTCACCATAGTCCTCACAGACGCCACGTTTTGCCAGTCCGATTTTTCTGCGTCTTGTGCTCCCAACTCAGCGGCGGTTGGTTGTGCCTCTTTACAGTGCGTGCGAGAGGCGCTTTTGTCTGGGCGAAGGGAACCGAAGGCAGAGTAGGCTCACTTGCACACATCAGTAGGATGGATTCGTTATTTCGTGTTTCCGGAAGCGTCTACTATGGTCATTAGTCCCGTACGTGTAGTACATATTTTATCATGGGATGCGACTGTTTTCTTCCTCTGCTGGAAGGCAAGATCCGGAGCCGATCGACGCGTCGCCATGAGGGGTCTTCCCCAACTAGGTATTTCCCACCAGCGGGGCACCGTCCCTTCCGAGACAAGCTCATGCCGGGAGCCCAATCGGGAGCCCAGAGCTCGGCTTGGCTCGGGCTGTGCCCCGCTGGTGGAATCCCCGTTGGCGGACAGAAAGTCGGTGCCGGCTCTCGCCATCCACGCCCCCTTCCGGCACTAATGAGCTCGGCCGTTGCCGTGCCCGGAACCGTCGTCGAGTGATGAAGTGGCGAGCGCCTGCCGCCCGCAGGATGAGCGAGCTGTTCCAGAAGCGCCAGCTGACCCCGTGGCTGTGGCGGCCGTGGCTCTTCGCCCTCAGCCCCACTGGCTTCGAGCAGCGTCGCGTGCTGCGCCAGCTGCACGGCTTCACCACGCGGGTCATCGTGGAGCGGCAGGCGGAGCGGCGGGCGGCGGGCGCCGACTCCTCGCCCAGTGAGCGCTTTGCATGCACTCGACGCCCTGCAGAATGCACTCTGTGCAATATCAATGCAATATTTGACATAACATTCAGACAATATTGGTGCTTACAAAATTCTTAGTTTCGTACTGTTTATTGATAAGGTTAATTTTCTGTAAAAATTTGCTTTGTGACACTTTCTAAGTGATGTTTGTTGTTATGAATTTCTGGGAGACTGAGAGGAAAAGCGTATTTTTATACCCTTGTAAACGGAACAAGAACATGAGTGATATAGAGAGGGCAGATTGACTTTGGTTACAATTCTTTTGCATTTCTTTTGTTAGTAAATGCTGATGAGCAGGTTTGGAACTGCCAATTCTTAAACGGATGGGAGCAGTTTGATATTTTCTCTTTGCAAAAGTACGGAAGGTGATCATCGAAAATTTTTTCCTATATGATGTAATTGGTTTGGTGTTTTGGTCCACCCAGTATTCCAAAGATCCTTGTTTCTTTGTTTTTACCTGTTTTATTTAGCGTTATGTTCTGTGGCTTCGAAAACGAATCCCACCACGACCAACGAAAAACGATATTATAAATTTGGCTCGTCGGTCGTTGTACATTCATCACATTAGTAGTATTCTCCAAACTGGAAAATGACACAATCCTATTCTTAAATCAAATAGATTAAAAATACATGTATAAAAAATGTTGTCAAACATCCCTATACAATGTTTAAGTAACTCCCGAGTGTGCATATGTGCGTTTGTTTCCAAAAATTGGCTTTTGCATGTTTTAGCCCTATGATCTTAATACATAGGTGGAGAATTAAACCAATACCACCTAAATAGATGTATTTAGGTGACGTTGATGGAACCCCAGTATTCCCTGGTTATTTTCAGCCCTCGTCATCATAATTTTCTCCCATGAGGATGACAACACTAATTGCTAACAAACAAGCATTTCAAATGAATATTGTGCGGCAGAATTTGTCTTGAAATTGTAATATTCGAATTTCATATGAATTTTTTGTCATAAATTTTCAAACTACCTTAGAATATTAAATTTGAAAAACATGAAGTAAATACAAAGAAAACAAAAACTGGTAGTAATTTAGAAAATACCTTTCTTGAGTGTGCAAAGATCGGTTTTCGAATTAATTTGTGTGGTAGTGTTAAGCAACTCAGGAGAATGAAATGTAGTTCTAGAAGATTTTGCGACAATTTTCCAAACTAATTCTTACAATCTTATATTAGCATTAGATAATAACGCCCAATAACAGCTTGCAGGAGATCGTGTATGTTCACGTTTGAACATAAAACGTAAACTAGTGGTGCTGCAGAATGGCGCAGACTTTCCCGTATTAGTTTTGTTTCTTTGGTCCCGGCTAGCTCCTCGGACTTGCAACGTACTCTCGCCAGCTGCGTTTATCCCAGGCGATCGCTGTGCAATTCTTCACGATCTCGGCTAAACCAACGCCTAGCAATCAGACCTTTCAAACACTCCTTACAGGGTCCATTGTAAATGTCTGTTGATACCTGTAGACCCATGCTGCTAAATTACGTTGTAAAATAAATAAAATAAAATAAAAAAGCGGAGCTCAACCGTTACACGATTTTTGGATGAAAAAGTTCGATCTACAACCAGATTAGGCTTTACCTTCGATGGGGTATTCACGCTTCATTTAGAAAATATGCACTCTAAATTATTTGTATCACGTTATAGCGACCAATAATTTATTTTTCTCTAAGTATACGCAAATTGAAGAATAAATAAAAACTAGTGCTGTAAAACAATGCGTAATTTCTCGCCCGTACTTTCACGCAAAATGAGCGTTCTTTTAGAGTTATTCTGCAACAAATTCATTCAAATGCAAATGTTAAAGAACTCCAAGATGAAATTGAAAGCTTTTGCCACAAGATTCGTCAGATTTACAATATCAAACGTAGATTATCAAAAGCACCACCCCTTTTTTTCTTCATAGATCTACAACCTAGCGACAATAATAAAGATGTTTACAACACAGAGAGTTTAATGAACTGCAAAATTAAAATAGAAGCACCTCAGAAGAAGAAAGAAATCACACAATGTAAAAAATATCAGGAATGCGGACATACTGCCATCGGAAACATCGCTGCAGGAAGTCTGTAAGGTGAAACAGGAATACCAGCGTAAATGCGTTCTATGTGAGCAAAACCATCCAGCAAATTACAAGGGATGCAAAGTCTACCAAGAAATAAGACAAAGTAAATAATCGCAGAAAGCACGAAACTTGTGTCTTTCGAATCCATACCAACCAATCAACGAACCATCAAGTAGTCACGTACCTCAAGAATTGCAACACCACACCGGAGTCCACGAAGCCAAGACTCCTCCACCTCATCAAATCATAAGTGATAATTTAAAAAAATTGAAATTGCACAACTAATATCAACAGTTCAAGAAACTTTTCAAAAATTTTAATCAATCCTATCCAAACAAGATGAAAAATTTCCAATCCGATAAGCCTTATGAAAAAAGTAATATTGTAGAAAAATTATCAATTTTCTGCAAGATGAAAAAATGGCATATTGCTCATTTCAGAAACACATTTTAGAGACAAAAACTACTTTAAAATGTATAACTATGAAATATATGATACGAAACATCCCGATGGTTCAGCTCATGGAAATATGGCAATAAAAAGGAGAAAAAACATACAATACTCCTTGAGATCAAATTTTGAAAATGATTACTTTGCAAGGCACATCTGTAGTAGTTTATGACAGCTTCGGTTCATTGAGTGTCAGCTGTCTGTAGCCCTCCAAAACATAAAATAGCAAAAGCCATGTACAGAGGTTATTTTGATAGGTTGGGTGCAAGGTTCCTCTCCGGGGGCGACTACAACGCAAAACATACGCAGTGGGGGTCAAGGCTGTCGACGTTACGGGACAGAACACTGCTCAACGCAGAACCACTATCGACAGGAGAGACAACGTACTGGCCAGCCGACCGTAATAAGCTGCCGGACTTACTTGATTTCCTTTATCATGAGAGAAACAAATCAGAGCTTTACATTAATTGAAAATTCTCTAGATTTGTCCTCCGATCACTCTCCAGTAATATTAACTATTAGCTCTCTTATAATTGAAACAACTTGAAACGTAGTATTTCGAATACAAAATTATAATAATAAAATATTTTAATTAAAATTAAATAATAAATATTATTGTAAACGTTTCTCTAAAATGTGAATTCGATTAAGATGAAGCAGTAGAATTTTTAACTACCAATATTTAGCGTGGTGTGCTACACCAAAAATGCACGAAACAACTATTCGCAAATATCACAAAATAGTTGAAGCTATGAAACGAGAAAAGAGGCAAAATGTGCATGATCCGAGTGGCAGCGCAAGATCTTAAAAGATTTCTACAAGACCAACATGCAAATGAAACTAACAAGTATCTCGAAAGACTGTCACCAACCAAAGACACCGACTACTCTCTATGGAAAGCCACCAAACGCATTAAACAACCAATGAAATCTGTACCGTCTATATGTGATAAACATGGTAACTGGGCTTGAACCAACCGCCAAACAGCAGCAGTATTTGCAGAACATTTTGTGAATGTTTGTCGACCGTTCCCATCTGATAGAAAAGACCAAGAAATAAATGTTATTCAGTTCCTTAATGCACCTTATCAAATGTCGCTACCAATAAAGTATTTCAAGACAACGGAAATTTCATTTACCATAAAACAGATTCATAAAGCACCTGGCTACGATCTCATCACCGGATTTGTTCTGAGAAATCTTCCAAGAAAAGCACTGTCATTGGTAACCTCAATTTTCAACGGCATCATTAGAATTGGTCATTTCCCTCTCAATGGAAGTGCAGCCAAATTGCTGTCATACCGAAACCGGGTAAACCTTCTTCCGAAGTACCTTAATACTGGCTTATAAGTTTATTACCAATTTTGTCGAAATTCTTCGAAAAGCCTCTCCTCTAGAGGATACTTTCAATTAAAACAGAAAACAATATTATCTTAGACTATCAATTCGGCTTTAGGATGAAACATGCGCCTACAACAGAAATTCACGGAATGGTGAAGGTCATCAGTGAAGCGATGGGGAAAAACTGTTCTGGCATCTTTTTGGACATCTTCGAAGCTTTTGACTAAGTGTCACTCAGGACTCATATAAAATCAAAAATGTATTGCCTCGCCCATTTTTTGCACTACTAGGCTCCTATCTGACTGGAAAAAATTTCCAAATAAAATTAAAGGAAGAAACATCATTTTATCCTGTCACTGCCGGAGTGAACCACAAGGAAGAGTTCTCGGTCCATTATATCCACTAAACCCGACCGACCTTCCTGCCTCAACAGCCATGTTTGCTGATAACACGGCGTTCTTAACCTCACATGAAAATGTTTTTGGAGCATAAGAAAAATTTCAAGAATACCTCACTCTGCTGCAGGAATAGTTCACAGATTAAGAGTATAAAAGCAAATGAAAGCAAATCTGTGCACGTAACGTTTACCGCCAAACCTAATAGATGTCCTCCGATTATAATAAATAATAAGGAGACACGCAGACAGATTACGTAAAATACCTTGGTCTACATCTTGATCAAAAAATGACCTGGATACATATATCAAAGAGAAACGAAAAGCCTTCGAAATCAAAATTAAGCAATACTATAGACTTCTAGGGAAAAAATCGTCGCTCTCATTGACTAATAAACTTTTGATTTATAAATCAATATTAAAACCCATCTGTACCTATGAAATACAACTTTGGGGTACTATGGCCAACTCGAACCTACAAATACTGCAACGATTTCAATCAAAATCTTTATGCTCTCAAGTCAACTTCAACTATAGCCCTCGAAGTACACTTACGTAAGTTTCGATTTAAGTCATGTTCATGAATACGGCCCTAAGACTTCAGGGATTAATTCAATATCGTTAACGTTTGTATTGATTTTTATGTAGACGCCACCGTCGTAATTATGCCCATTTTCAGTAGTTATTTAGCAGTACAAATGTCACGAGTACTCTGTAAGCTCAGTGGTTGTTCCCCTGCATGTTTCCTCGCATGCTCATCTCTGGTTCCCACATGTTCCTCCAAATATTTCCCAAAAATTTTCTCCCGAAATAATCCCCGCCAAATGTTCTCTCTTGGCGTGCAGCGCAGGCATTGCCTCGTAAAGCGTTTGCTCTTGTGCCGCTGCAGAGAAAAAGCGCCGCCTGCTGGCGCTGCTGGACCTGCTGCTGGAGGTGGCCGAGTCGGAGCCCGGCGCGCTCTCCCTCGACGACATACGCGAGGAGGTCGACACCTTCATGTTTGAGGCAAGTGAACGCACACACCCTCACATTCATCCACATACACTACACACGCACACATACGTGAAACCACTCACCAATGTTTTATTAATTTATGTATTCGTTTATTTAACTTAAAAAATAATTAACAATTTTAACGTGTAATGTGACAATCAGTGCAATTTGTACACGTTTTCACATATTCACATGATTACACAAGCCGGAACTTACACAAATGTGCATGTTACGCCACATACAAGCACATATGCGCACGCGACGTTATATTCGAGGCAAGCACACTTATCATAATTCAAGTATATCATGGCGCATCTTCCATCAATACACCGAATAATCACCTACGAAACATGCGTTCTGGTCCCTACGGAAGAGGAGGTTTTAAAAGCGGTCGGCGATATTCACCGACTGTAAAATCAACGTAAAGGAAGAGTTTTTAATGTCAGTCTCCTTGGAGAGAATTCGATCTTTCCTACCCGAGCCGTAATACTTCATCAATAATTTGGTTCACTCACCAAATTGTTCATCGAAACAATTATAATAGATATGAAGTTGTCACTCTCCTCAGAATGAGGTGTTTTGTTCTAAGCAGAACAAGTGAAAATAACCATCATATTATTATTATTATTATTATTATTATTATTATTATTATTATTATTGAGGAGGAAAATCCTTTATGGATACCAGTGAAGCTAGTGATGTCGGACTCCCAACTAGGTTACCGACTAAAAACCTAACCTCCGTCTCTTAAACTGTATTCTCTCCACGCGGAAACCGTCGTTAGACATTACTTCACGCAGGAGATTGTCTGGTAGCAGATGCTGTACTTCCTCTGTCTTAATTCTTTCTTCTTCATAACTAACTATGAAGTTCTCTATGGTTTTCCATTTTTTCTGCGAGCTCAGCACCATGTCGATCATGTTGTCTGGGTTTATAACTTGTTGCAGGTTGACATTACAAACTTCTCATTCCGCGTTCCATTCCTTGCACTGGAATAGTGTGTGTTTTGCATCATCTATGTCTGCGTGACAGAGACTACATGTGGGCCTCTACGATCCTGAAATCGTAGAGGTATTTATTAAATCCCCTATGTTTCGTAAGAGTCTGGGACAAGTAATAACTCGCCTCCCCAAAACGTCGGCTAACCCATCTGTCGATGTTTTTAATCAACCGATGAGACCATCTGCCTTTCACATCCCCATTCCATCTTCCTTGCCATTCTTCAAGGAGCAACTTCTTGCTTCTGCTTTAACACTCTCAATTTGCTTGGGAGGGAGATGACTGTCTGCTTGTGCTTCCTTCTAGGCGAGGTCCCTCTTTCTTTCCATGGCTATTAAGTCGATAGGTGGTGTACTGGCCAATACCAGCACTTCGCAAGTAGACACTGTGCTTAGGCGCACGCCACCCTCAAGGCCATTCGCCTTTGTACTTGGGCGTACTTGTGTCTGATAGACAGCTTCCCCAGCGAACCCGCCCAGACTGGAGCAGCATACGACGGTGAGTGAACTACGCCAGATATCATTCTTCTCTTCGCTTCTCTCGGTCCACCGACGTTTGGTATCATTCTTGCGATTTTAGCTCCTGTCCTCCCCGCCTTCTCAGCCATCACATTTATGTGGGGCCCTAAGCGGAGTCTATGGTCTTTTTCGACTCCTAAACATCTTATCTGGCGCTTCCAGTTGATTCTCCCGTCCCAATCGGAGGTCTGGGTAGAGAAAGGACCTCCGGTCGGTGATTAAGACAGCTTCGATTTTTTGCACTGCCATCTGTAGCTGTCGTGTATCCATATTTAAACCCGAAACAGCGCTTCTTTCACTCTCAATTCGAGGAGTTTAATGTCATCGCTGTAGCTTATTGCCAAATCCAAAATAGATGGTGCGGCTCCACGTCGAAAGGTGTACTCATCCCCTTTATTTAAGCTGATCAGATCATTTCTTGCAATTAATTCACATATGATAGTTCTTCTTCTATCGGAGCGCGTCTCTCCCCATTCGGACGAATAACCGTTGAAATCGCCTACCTCTAATACCTCTCGCTTAGACGTTTTCAAGCTAGCCTCCAGCTCCTCGATATCTTTCTGAAATTTTTCTAGCGTATCATTGGGTGAAAAATAGCAGCTATACATTTTCATATTGCCCACTTCCAGCCATACAAACCCGTATTTCGTTCTCTATGATTCCTGATACTCAGCGTCTTATGCATTATTATGCCGGCTCTTCCAGTAGCATCCTGATACCACATGTCGTACCACGTGGTTTTGTCGTTTGTCGGTTGTTCGCTAACAATTTACAAGTCCACGTTTCTTTCAGTTGCAACTTGAACAAGTAGATCTTGTGCGATTTTGTTGCTTCCTAGGTTAACGTGTAGGATCCTTATTTTGTCGCTTACTTTGCTTGTTTATTTCGGCGTTGAATGAGGACATTTTGCGTTTCCTAGCACGTGGCCAGCATTTAGATGTTTATCCTTGCAGATGACACATTTGGGTGGCTTGCTGCAGTCTTTTATCTGATGCCCTGTTTCTCCGCACTTGCAGCATGTATTTCTACGGCCAGGGCTCGGGCAGTTGGTGAATATGTGTCTAAAATCTAGGTATTTGAAGCATCTTGTTACTTGTCGCTTCTCGCGCATCTGGCAATTGACCCATCCTATCTTTATTTTACTCTTGTCATTCTTCAGAAGTTGTGAGGCTAGATCTGTAGGTAGCAAGACTGACGCTGTTTGTGTGCTTGCAAACCCCTTATATAGTCTGCATTTGCTCCCGATTGCAGCTGCTACGTCATTTGCTGAAACAGTCACGTCAATGTCTCTAATTTCTACAAGTGTTTTTGATGTGAGTGTTCTAACTATTGCACTCTACCCGACTGCCTTTACAAGTGCATTGTTAAATGATGATGTGTTCCCTTCTTTACCCAGGTCAATTAATAAATCCTGTTTCTGAGATCTTATTTTCTTAACGATTGTGTTGTGGTATTTCGGATCGACTGCTCTTTTCATCTCTGTGAGGATATCAGCATATGCCTTTCCCTCTTTGGCAGTGATTTTGATGACCTGGTTCAGGGTTTTATTTCTTGGTCTGTTTTGATCGGCTTTCACTTTCTCTTTTCTTTTTTCTTCCTTGCCTCTTTCTTCTTATATGTTCCTGTGTTCAGCCTCTTCATCTCCCGAACCCACTCTGCTGTTGCGGGGCTTGGAGTTCTCTTTGACTCTGCACAGCCTTCTGATTTTGGTCTTTCTTCCCTCTTCTAACTTCTTCCTGGTGGGGGCTGGGTGCCTTTCTCTCTGGCCTTTGATGCCCGTGCTGAAGTAACTAGGATGTATCCTCTTCCAGTTCTTAACTAGGGATTAATAGCCTCTTGGAACTCTGTCTTACTCTTCTAGGGCATCGTTGCCATGCTGTATCTTAACGCTTCGATGTTAGCGGTACCGGGATCTATTAGACATAGCTCCTCATCTGCTACTGGGTGGGTATTTATTAGCATAATACGGTCCGCATCTGTTCTGTGAGTGTTTTCGTTTAGGCTATCAATATAGTAATGTCTGCTGTTCTTCCTTTGTTGTATGGTCTAATGCGCATTATTCATGCAAAAACCTCGTTAAAGTAGTCATTTCTTTGGCGCGTTCACTTTTTGTCGCATGTCACAGGATCCTAGTCTCTCCCCTCTGCACAGTTGATCATCCTCCTCACGCAGTCGTGCATTAATCTCTGGAGTGGTTGGGTACTTGGGGCGATCTCCGGCAGCTAGTCGACGGGCTCAGCAGAAAAGAGTGGGGTTAAAACCTGCTTTCTTTCTAGGCTTTTCGCTGTCGCAGTATCGTATTCCACGACACACCGGAAGCGGCCAACTTCTTGAAATTGCGGAGTCGTCTGTTGTACGACCGTTGCGCGGGCTGTGCTGCCCACCCCCTGGTCGGACTGGTCTGGGGCTCCGATCGCCCTGCACCGAAGCGGTTGATCTGAGGGAAATTCTATGTGGTTTCTTTTCTGGGGTTGTCACCGTCTCTCCTCTAGCGCTTAACGCCTTGGGCGCCTAAGCGTCTGGATTTTTGGTCTTGGGTGGTATTTTATTTCTCCATTTACCCTGCACGGCGTGTGCGTGTATGGAGCAATTCCTTTTCTCTCTCTTCCATTCACCACCTGGGAACTGCGTGCCGGATAGCGAGACGAGCACCCCACGGAGATTATTATTAATTTATGTATTATTATTATTATTATTATTATTATTATTATATTAGCCTACAACATCTCATAAAAAGCAAAGGTCTCTTGCTTTAGCAGAGTTACAGTTGGTTGATATTATATTAAGATACTGCAATTTTTGCATCATGCGTGTGTACAAACATACGTTGTATGTTGAACTTTTAAGTACTTACAGAATTGAGGAGCCTACTATTGACATCTGTTTAAATAAAAGTCTGACATTGATTTAAAAAACATACATATTTTCGTAACATTCAAATACTTTTTAGACATTTTAATTTTTGCACATTTATATAAGTTTATATTCTGATTACAATTCAAAAAAGTACAAAATGAAATGTTAAACGGATATTTATGCGTAGGATATAAAAAACATGCTTAAGTTGATGTTAAAATAAATAATGATCATAAGCAATTTTTAAACCGGGTGCCAAAATGTGGCGTGACACAGGTCTTCAAATTCCTTCAAGCCGTCTGTAAGCAAGTACGCACTAGTACATTCAACAGGTTTAATCAATTCTTGGTTAATTGTAACTAATAACTACTATACAAGTAATGTATAATAAATTAGGTTTTAAAGAATGTGTGAACTATCATTGCATCTAAATCGATTAAAACAATACGGCGACTTAATCATTTTTTTTTTCAGGGTCATGACACCACATCTGCTGCCCTCTCGTGGGTAATCTTTTTACTGTCGCTGAATCCCAAAGAGCAGGTAAGATTGTGGGGAATTTCTATTTTTTAACATTCAAACAATTTTTTGTAAGGCTTGAAAGATTTCACTTTACCCCTGGGAATTTTAAGAGTTGGTACTTCGTAGGACTAAAAATATTCCAAAAGCACAGATTATTTATTTATTTATTTATTTATTTACTTCAAAAACTGTGTGCGACAGTAAGTTTAATTTGTGATAAATTAACTATTAATTAATGTAAATTAAATTACGTTGCATAAAACGAAGAGAATAAAAAAAACAATTTAACATTCTTTTCTCTACAAGGGTATTGTATTGAAATACAATTAGTATTTATTTACATTTGTTATTTTAGATATACAATGACATCTCTGTTTTCACTTGTTGCAAATATTAAATTTCACATTAAAAAAATTTAAAGCACACGACCAAAACGATAGCTGTTGGTTTGCAACCTAAAACAAACGACATATCGATCATTCTACAAAATGGAGAAAAGTAACACTTTTTTACCTGAACTTTATGGACTAAACTGAATCGAACTTTATTGGACTGAATTGATGTTCAAATTAATATATTTTTAGGCTTTGAGCATAACCAAACTATGGGTTACCAAAATCAATATGAGAACAACTGCATTTTGTGCATCAATTTAAAAAATGAATAATCTATTTATTAATTTGAAATAAAATGTATAGTACTTTTTGTGTATGATAAATAAAATACTTAATAATTACTTTTACAAACTTATGAACTAATATAAAATATTGTCGAAAACAAATATTAAGAGCCCTTATGTAGCGGGACCCCTATTACTCAGTCCATGATCGAAATGATTTGAAACGAATTGAATACAATTCCACGGCGTCCTACTCGTTAACAGAACCTTTTCCGTGATTTCTCCGATTCACACCAGGCGAATGCTGGAGCACGTACCCTATTCGCGCGCTTTCATTCATCATTCATTCCTTTTCCTTGTCATATCCTCACTCCTTACTATGATCCACCCCTTCGTCCGGTGCGTCGCAGGAGAAGGCGTGGCAGGAGCAGGCGGAGATCTTCGGGGAGTCTGCGCGGGAGCCCACCATGGAGGACCTGGGCCGCATGCGCTACCTGGAGCAGGTGGTGAAGGAGGCGCTGCGCCTCTACCCGTCCGTGCCCGCCTTCTCGCGCGTCCTGGAGAGGGAGACAGTCATCGGTGAGTGAGCGCCCGACCTTGAAGGGACTTCTTGTTTTAGAATAATACCTCGAAGCACTGCTGTACGCAGGAATTCTCTTCTGGAATGTGATCAGAAAAAAAATTAGGTCTTATAGGTCTAACCTGCGAGATATGAAATTCCATTCTTGGACAGGGGCCAACATCATTTGCGTTGTAATGTTTTGTACTAGGACATCAAACGGATGTAAACGGACAAGCTGTTCATATCTACATTAAATGAGTCCACCTAATTGACTGTTATTAATTAAACTGGAACAGACTAAATTTTAATCACATAAATAGGCATGTACATAAATAATGTTTCTTCCAAAGGAAGCTTTTCTTGCATTCTCGTATACATAAATATTCATACCATGTGAACATTTTCCCAGATGGGGAATGTAAACAATACTTAGGGATTAAAATAGACCCAGCATAAGTTATCCAACTTTGGAGAAATTAATACAAACCATACAAGCTTTGTGCAATGGCAACACCGTAACCAATGAAGTTTATCTGAGGTGCGATAATTGCTTGTTGAAACTTGAAACCATTTTCCACGAGTTACTCACGACCACACCTCCTTTGGTTTGGAATAAAATAGGGTCAAAAAGCCGCTCAATTGAATGAGCAATCCATACCATCTGTATAAAGTATTTATAATAATTATATTTTTAATATTATAAGTATATTTATATTGTAATATAAGTATAATTTTCTGATATGTAATTATAAATACACTATGGTGCAACGAAACGTCCTCGAAAATCATCCGGGCGGATGGTTTCACGTTGAACTGAGGTTAAATGGCGAAGGATAAGTAGCCCAGAAGCAGCCAATTATCTTATGCGACTGCAGAGGGCTAATGGCCAAGCTAGAAGAAAAAAAGAGGCAGCCGAGTGAATACAGTCATTAAACATTTTTAGCGCACGAGCAATGGAGGATTTTTCCCCTATGTTGTTCTGCTACACAGTGAAACCTTTCTGAAATAAACCCCCCCCCATCTCAAAGCCATTTTGTGGGAGGAACGGGCACTAAATTCGAAAATTGTAAATAAGTTATACCCCTGTTAAAGGACCTTCCCTCTCCCCGACCAGCCCCTTTCTAATAATATTCTTAATTTATCCACAGTATTCGTACTGCTAAATTTAGCAGAAAGAAGCTGTATAACGTATTTTGTCAGATTAATCTGATCAAAAAGTAAATTAGAATATATAGGAGGTAATAGCATTTCTAATATGCTTTTGAACTGCCTGTATTTGAACTTTCCTGTTTTTCCTTTCTAAGTCGTTAAGAAATTTAATAATGAAAATAAATAAATAAATAAATAAATAAATAAATAAATAAATAAATAAATAAATAAATAAAATAAAAAAGCAACGGTTAACTCATGGTTCTTTCTTTTAGTATTGCTGCATTTAGTTGCAGAACAGTTGCGACGCACGCATTGTTAATTATGTGTTAACTGGAAAAGTATAAGAATTCGGTTGGTGCATATCGAATATTCCCGATACATGTAAAATGTAAGGTTAAACGTTGGTTTTACGGGCTATTGAATGACTTGCCCTTGAAATCCGAGGAATATAAAACCACGAGGTCAAGAAACAACACGAATTATTCTTTAAGTTTTTTAACCAACTCTTAATAAACGCAATTTTACAAACAGATTCAGAAGCAGGAATCCTTAGTTTTGAATTTGTCTCCACTATGATCGCTCGCTTTATGCTCGCACATCCTAGGCAAAAAATGGGCTGAGCTGCGCTACTGTATAATACATTTACTGTGATTTACCCCATTTAAGAGACCGCTTTCAGGAAAATTGTAATCATACAGTACACTGAATTTTCAGTAGCACATGTCCTGTGCCGTAACTTCGTTCTCAAGGAAATCGTGGGAGTTCTGGGAATCAAGTAATAACACTAAACCGTGGCCACTAAGCATAGTATCCCGACTCCAATTCAGTTTCATTTCTTTTAATGAGACGACAGATAAACGTGACCTTGCGTTTAATTATTAGAAAGAACAGTCTTCTTTACAGCACCTTCCCAGATAAACATCTGGTGCGGTAGAATATCATGTCGGAAATCAGGGTTAGCGACAAAAGAAGCGCGAATTGCAAAGAGAACGCAATGCTGCCCCGAAAATTGTTGAAATGAGATATGTCAATAGGCCATGGATTCCAAATTGAAATTGGAATTTCAATCTGGAATCGAAATTTCAATTTGGCTTTCTGATGATGGGCAAGTAAAAGTGATAAGATGTTGCTACATTAGGAAAATTTGATGAGAAATTTATGAATGAACAACTAATTAACAAGAACTAATGTCTTTCCTCTAGCTTATGTAATGGCATTGATAATTCGTGAGAAACTAATGATGAACTGCAGAACAGCAACAAGCCTTTCTAGCCAGTATATTTCCCAAAGCTGTATTCTATTAGCATTTTGTCAAGGAAATAAAATCAAATCAGTTTTACATTTCACCCTGCAAGTTGTGAAGAAAAATATTTCTTTGCTTATAATGATGCAAGTTTTACCTATCAAAGTTAACTTTTGATAACTATGATATAATATTATTACGGTTATGAGATAAGTTTGGAAATGCAATAGCATTTTAAGCATCTTTATGCAACATACCATCTGAGCATGACTCCCAGTACCTACAGTAACACTAACTTCATTTCCCTTAAAACTAGTGCTTGATTACTAAAACTTATGTCCTAGAACACACCCCAAATTATTTATTAATTAATAGAAATAATTATATTTATAAAATAATTTAATAATTATAAAACTCACTTAACATAAAATAATAGTGGTAGCCTTGGCTCTATGTGAATCTAATAACAATAATAATAATAATAATAATAATAATAATAATAATAATAATAATACAAATTAGAGTTTATAATGATATCGTTTTTAATAACATTTATATTACAGTCGTAGAATTGATACAGTTAAATGTAAAATAATTAAATATTAAGTTTACAAAAGTAGGTTGAACTAAATATCTAAGTTTGCAAGAGTTTGTCCTTTGCTTTTTGTTTGTTTCTTTCCTAATTCGTTCACCAGGAAATGGAATGCCATTCTATCACGTTCTGCCAGAAATCAAGCCTTCCTCAAAACTATTGTTCTATTGATACTTCAGGTATTGAGATCATGATTGTCCAGCCACTATTGGGGGCAAATGTATCAACAATTTGGAAAATGTACCCATGTAGAAAGAAAGCAATATTAAAAATTGCTATATATTTAACTTAATTTATTTCGGCACCAAGTTTCCTCCCCCCAGTAACCTTTCACACTTATTATCAACTGAATAATCAATATCTTTTTGATGAATTCACAATGTATATGTTTTGATGACTTCCTTTCACTAGATGTAGTAGGAGTTTAGCCAAGAATGTGGGTTACTATTTTGTTAGCAGTATTAAAAAAAAACAACCAATGGTTTGTTTACTAATGCAAATAAGTTTTCAATAATTCCAAGCAAAAATGTAGGCATTAGTAAAATAATGGGGAAAGACATTCTGGAGCTCAAGAGAAACCAGAAACAAATTATAGTTCTTCCCCATTCATCACATACAGTTATAGCTTTTATAAAACATAAATCAAATCCTCTACTTGTTCAATTGAAAGTAAAGTAATGTAATGTCAATCCTTTCAGTTGAAACATAACTTTCCACAAAAGTTGTTGTTTTCATAAAGAAAATTTTAAAAACCAAACTAAATTACATTTTAGAATAACTTTCCTGCTTTTGCTTACGCCCTTTTCTCAACAGGAAAAAGACAGGGTTGAGGTAATATAATGATAACCCTTATTTAATACATCTAAAATGAATATTTCACAATTTCTCCCCAAAACAAATATTATGATTAAAATGCTGTACAAATATGTTTATTCATGTGTATATAGAAAATAGCCGGAAGTGAGAACACAAATTGAGAGAAATCTGGATTTGCATAAACTTTGTTTTTCTTCTGGCTTGGAAAAATTGAGGGTTACTTACCACTGTTGTCCCAATCTCTCCAAGTGATATAAACTTTCATGATGATCTTGAAATAAAACTTATCGTTAAAAACATCTAAACATGATTGAAAGATTTGGGATTGTTCTCATTGGTGGACAAAATTTTCATTATTCAACTTGGCCTATAGTTTTCATAGATTGAAAGACTGTCTCCTTTATGTATTGGACTGATAATGTATACTTTTAATTCATCTGGAAAAGTTCCCTCATTAATGCTTGTGTTGATAATTTTCATTATAATTGGTGTTATTGAGTTGCTGTTCAGTTTTATATCTCTTTTAGCTTTTTTGTCAATTTCTGGAGCTTTATTACAGTCCATCCCTTTAATTAAAGAACTAGTTTCCTCTAATGTGATTTCAGGCAAGTAAAAAGAGTTACTTTGTGTTATGTTTTTTGGCAGGACTGCTAGGTTACATTTATGTACAATGTCTTCCATCTGTTGTTGAAAAGTGATAGCAAATCTTTCTACTATATGTTCAATTGAGTTACTTTTCCCTAAATTTCTTATTATGACTTCATCTAAAGATTTTTTTCTCAGGTACACCAAGTAGTTTATTTATTGTTTTCTAAGTGTTTTTAATGTCGTTTCTGCTATTTTCAAATAGTTTGTTAAAATATTCCTTCTTTAGCTGCGGAATTTTGTTTTGTTATTTCATTTCTGTTTTTTTATAATTTATAGTTAAGTGTGTTTTTTAATTCTTTATTTTTGACTGAAGTCCTTTTACATCTTTTAAACAAGTGATCTCTTTGTTTTATCTGTTCATTTATATCCGAGTTTATCCAGGGTTTCGATATTACCTTTTTTCTACTATTATTAGATTCTTTAGAGACTAACGCTTTGTCATATAAATTTTTTATTACTTTGTACAATTCATTAGCTGTTACGTTTTGAAGACTAAATTCATTTAAGTTCATTAGTTCTTTTTGTAGTTTACTTTTGTTTATAAATTCATATTTTTTTGTTACATTTTCAAGAACTATCTTTTTATTTGTGAAATTACATGAGATTCCAATTAAATTATGATCTGTTATCTTGCTTTCTAGTATGAATGGGATTATGTCTTTGGCATTGCCACTAACAGCTATTTGATCGATACATGAGCTCACTACTTTACCATTTTTTATTTCAACTCTCATATCTTTTTTGATACAGTGCACTAACTTGTGATCTAACAAGATATCTATGTAATCAATCATTCTTTTTTCGTTATTGCTGATGTTTATGTTACAATCTCCAATTATTATTTTGTTCATATATTTCAAAGTGTTAGACAACTTGACCAAGTTTCCTAGTTTATGCTGGTGGTTTTTACCACTAACAAGATATGAAGTTTATCAATGTTCCAAACAGTTTCTAGGGTCTGTGTTAATCATTGATACTCGACTGTCATCAATACAGTGGTGACAATTGTCAATAAAATCTTCATTATTTCCGTACATCAGAAAAATCATTCTCTTTCTAACGTCATTTCATTATCTGTATGATGCTTTTCTTTACTTTCTATAAAATAATTGACATCGCCTACCAAACAGCTACTTTTCTCATATTTCTTCCTTTTATCATTTACAAAATTCATTAGTATTCCAAGAATTGCTTGGTGTAACTTAGGAATCCTTATAGCAAATAATTCAATGGTGCTCAGGTAAAGGGAGTTAAGTCATAAAACTGAATTCGAAGAAACATTGAAAAACAATTTTGTGATCTTTCTTAAGCAAAAAATATTTCAAAAGCTTTAAATTCCCTGTTCCTTAAATTTAAATTTTAATTGTAGATTACAGTAGTCATGTGCAACTCCCATAACAAAACTTCACCTTCGCAAAACATGACATACCTCCCTTTACCCGAACCATTGAATTATAAAATTAGGTCTTTAATTTTTAAATCCAACTCAGTCACAAATAGATTTTTGTCAAGTGTTTGTGATTATGTTGGATGTTCAATCTCTCTACTATTTCTTTAAACATTTACAATATTATTTAAGATTTAGTTAGTATTTAAACGATATAATCAAAATATAAAATATTTAATTTTTATTGCTTTCAAAATTATGGTTAACTTAAATGTTTATTCGTTTAGTCTATTAATAACCAAGAACATTCTGACTTTATATTCATAGTTATTATAGTGTAATTGCTTCCAATACTTAAGAAACACGTTTTTTGGTTATTGTTACTGTATTATTTGGAGACATTCTACATATGCTGGTATTTTCTTTGACTTACCTGATACTTTAAAGTTAATTATTTCTGCTGCTTACAGAAATGTAAATTCAGGGCATTATCATTTCTTGGCCTTGGCCTCTTAGGAAACAATATGAAGGGATGAAATAATATAAATTGGTAGCCCAAAGTTCTCTAAGAATACCTGATATTTAAGAATATAATATATTATTGTTCTGAAATACATTTTAGGACTGAATAAGTCATTCATGAAACTTTAATTTAAATATTTTCAACATTTCCACTAATACTCAAAACAGCCAAAGGTTGGTATTCCTAGAAAAGTACCCATTATTCAAAGAAAATGAAGATTAAACAGTGGATTGTAATTTAAAATAAATCTTTTTATGGAAAAAAGTTATTTCAGGGCACTTGAAAATACACCAGCATGCAGGAAATATTTTAGGAAACAAAAATAAAATAAACAGGAACATGGAATATAAGGTCACATTTCACATGTGCATTAATAAAATATCAATTTTTGCAAAAGTTTCTTTTTAAAGCTCTCATGTCCATTGATTGACAATAATTACTATGTTGGAAACATATCAAATCTTTATTAATGCAAATGTTCTATTACAAACAAAAACTCTGCTACTTCCTCAAAGTTTTATTAATAAGCAACTTAATCATGCAGACAATTTGAAATACTTCAACGCCAGTAACAGATTTTATAACGTGGTAGTGCAGTTAATGAGACAATGTATACGCAAAGTTAAATAAAAAAAAATATGAAAAATTGTAATGTGATTGCAGAACAAAATTATTTGATAACATTAGTTATTTATTTTTTATCAATTTAAATTAAAGTTTTAATGTGCATATTTTACTTATTAGTGTTTACAATGTCATCAATCTTTAGAATGCTGCGAACAGTTTCTGAAGCAAGGGTGATAGCACTTGTGGATACCAGCAAAGGTTGTACAACATTCTCTTCCAGAATGTTGGTAATTGTTCCCTTGCGAACGTTAATTCCAGCTGTAGTATCTCCTTGAGCATGTCTGTTACGCAAATCAGTAACTGTAGCAACAGGATTTAATCCTGCGTTTTCTGCTAAAGTAGAAGGAATGATTTCCAGAGCATTTGCAAAAGCTCTGAAACAGTATGCTGCCAGGCCAGTTATAGTTTGAGCATACTGAAATAGTTTTAGGCTAAGTTCAGTTTCTGGAGCACCACCTCCAGCTATCAAAGCTCGTTGTTTCACAAGGCAGCGAATCACACACAAAGCATCATGCAAAGACCGATCTGCTTCTTCCAAAACCAATTTATTGCTTCCACGTACAAGAACAGTTACTGTTCTTCCTGGATTTTGAATACCAGTTATGCTCACAAACTTACTTGCTCCAGTTTGAACTTCATGAACCAAATCTGCACTAGCAAGGTGCTCTGCAGTGAAGTGGTCAAGAC